TTAGGAAGGAATTAGGAATTTTCTCTCTCTAAAGGTAACATCTATACTAGCCACATCTTAACAAAATTTGATGAAAGCATGAAGATCGTACAAGTGTGGTTTACTGAGGTATCTTTTATTTTTCAAAAAAAAAAAAACGTGTGGTTTGTTTAGATAAGCTCACAGGAAAACTGTTGATATAGCTGATAACACTACCTAGCCAAGTGCCAGTCCCAGACACAACTTCTTCAGAATTAGTTAATAAGTGTCCTGCTCCCACTAGTATTCTTAACTCCAATTCTCTTGAAAGTTGCCTTGATCTCCCAATTTCCATTCAGAAAAGAGTTATGTAAACTACTGCTTGTCTCCAGCTTTGTGTCCTATGGTTGCTATCTCCTTCCTAGGTAAAACTCTTTTTGTCCTTGTCCATTCTCTATTTTGCAGGGACGAGCAAACACATAATGGTCACTAGATGGAAGGCGGCATGGTTCAAGAGATGAAAGCTTTAGCAAAAAAATGGAACTTGGGAGCTTATTACAATTCCATCGAATAAGAAACTAGTAGAGCACAAATGGTGGAAGCAAATGGATTTAATCAGACTTATGGAATAAATTATCAAGGAACATTGCACCAGTTGAAAAAGATAAACATTATCTGAATCCTCGTATGATCTTATTAAAGAATTTTTGTGGGAGTTGCAATAGTTTGATTTGAACAATACATTGCTAAATGAAAGTCAGGTAAGTCTATATGTAGATTCCACCAATATTTTCTTGTCAAATCACTGAAATGAAGGTTTTCTGATACAGGAAATATTGTTTCCACGTGTTTAGCTAAGCCATAAAAGCTTACAGTTATTGGCAAAATGTGGATCACCCTATGTTCATCAAATACCACAATGCTAAGATCACTATGCTCATTATTTATGTTGATGGCATAGTTTTGATAGGGACATAAGCCAGAAGAGATGACTAGCTTGAAGAAGTATTTTGCTACTCAAGTTTAAATTAAGGACTTCGAGAAATTATGGTACTTCGTAGGATAGTGGTTGTCATGTAAACAAATGTCTCTTTATATTCCAGAGAAAAATGTCCTTTATTTACTTGAAGAAACTCGATTGTTGGAATATAAACTCGTTGATTCATCCATTGTAGGTATCACAAATGAGGAAGGATGTGTGGAAATGGTTAATACTTGTTAGTATCAGGCACTAGTTGGATATAGATTGCTTCAGTTTGGTTTATGTCCTATATCCATACCATACTACTAAATTTGGTTTCTAAAAGATTTGAAGCAAACCAAATCGTTTTACTGTAAAAACTAAACTAACCAGAATAATTAAGTTCAGTTTATGTATTAAAACTTATAAAACTTCTGCTATGCAATATTAACTACATTCTAAATTCATAGAAATGTACCTTAGAACAATAGTTCTCAACATTAAGTAACTTATATATACAGTTTAGCAAAAAAAAAAAAAGGAAAGAAAGAAGTTAAATATACATCTTTTTCTAGGTATTTAAACAGTTTATCATATATGCTAGTGGAGTGACTATTTATAATACCAGGATAGATATTTTTAGTAATTCAATAGCTTATTATCCTATTTCTAATTATATATATATGACGTGAATTTTGGTTTGATTTGGTTTAAAGATTTTCCAACTCAAGTTTCTGGTTTGTCTCCAATCCCAATCAAAATTTTCAGCGTCAAAAACAAACCAAATAAAATCATTTTGGTGGTTCAGTTTAGTTTTCCGTTTGTGTCAAATAATTTATAGTTTGAAAACTCATTTATCTCTCACAAACACGTCTACGTATAACATACATTGTTAATACAGTAAGTCAATTTCTGTCTGGATGTCATCTTCCACATCCTCCCAGCAATGACACTAGAGATTTGTGAACTTCTGTCGCTTAAAAAACTGATTCAAGATCTACAGCTACATGAAATAAAGTTTCTGATTTTGTATTGTGATAAAAAATAGTTAAATCTCAAGTATTAATTAGGGTTGACTCCAAATGTCTCTTCATAGTTGAGTTAGAAGGTGTCTATTACCGAAAGAAACTCAACTCAGAATAGGTGATTATGAGCAACTTTTTATTTTAGAAAATAGGAAGTTATATGTTTGGATAAAAATGTTTATTATAAAAGGTAACCACTTGATAATTTTTTAAAAGAAAATGGATATACGAGGAAAGTAAGGTAGTTGAACATGTAAACAAGATAAGCACTTTAAACAGACTCAAAAAGATTTAGCTGGAGGGTCCTATCTCTTTTTCATTTTAAGAAAGAACTCATAAACATGGATTGTGCTTAATTTAGTTTTAAACGAAAGTGGAAAAATAAATACATAAATAACCAGACCAAAAAAATTGAACTGAAAAATTAGCTCAAAACTTTCGTTTTAATTTAAATCTCAATTAACCAAACAAAACAAACATGCTAATAACTTATCCGACAATGCTTTAACAAATAATTTCCCATTCATTTCATAATTATATTAGTTAAAATAAGATAAGAATGAAAAGATTGCAAATAGAATAATATCCACAAGCCTATTCTATGCTCTGAACTCTTTCTCCTTTCCTTTCATTTTTTATTCTTGCTCCTTTCCTCTTCTCTAAATGTTACACCCCAAAAACCTTGTGCTGCTATCACCATCCTGCTGCATGGCTTGTCACCTGGTCTCCCTTGTTGCAGCCAATATACAGTGACCACTCAACACCATGAGCTTCACTCATCCTCTCTCTTTTTCTCTCTCTCCTAAACTCACATTTCTTCGTAGTTCCTTTCTATTTTTTTTCTTCTTTTTACCATCCAAACTATTAGTTAACTGAATCTTCTCATTAATCAATTAATTTGGTTTCATTTTGCTTGGGCTGTTTAATAGCTAAATTGTTAGTTCAGTTAGTTAGCAGTACTACTAGTGTAGTCAAACAAAATCATGCCTACCCTTACTCCCTCCCTGCTCCCAAAAGCCTGAATCCTGAATTCACAGAACTTGCTTGGAAATAGTTCATGATATATGTACAGAAAAATTGTTCCCATCCGCATTCAGGAAATAATATCACTGATAACTGTATTCATGCATGTAAGAAATATATTAAATAAAAGTACTAAAACCTTAGGAGGCATTTTCTAGAAGAATTTTGCACCAAACTGTGAACAGAGACTACAAGCCTAATGAGCTCAAAATTTAGGAAGCAATTACGAAAGAAAGGACTTGAAGTCATAACTAAACCTTCTATATTGCTTATGAAATTTTCAGTCCATGCAGTGACATCAAAGAGATGATTTTAAGTTATAACTAATTCTACTCATCAATTGAACATATAGCAAACAAAGAAAAGAAAATCAAAGCATCAATAGAACCAAATCAAAAATGGAAGAAATTAATATGCATCCGCTGAAAAGCAGAGGAACAGGTATCACAAAAGCATAACTCTCTACATGTAATGCCTCGAAACTGAGAAATTCATTCACAAGTCCCAAATGCACACACATGCACACAGCATGATGCCTTAGTGTCACAAAAGAACCCCATATTTAGAATTCATCTCAAAAGAGGGCATCAGATCAAGAGCGCATTCATTTCTAGTTTATGTTTAATTTGAACTTAGAAGAGATGTTAACTTTTCAATTTACCTTGATTACGGAGAGATAGGAATCTGAAAGGCCCGTATACTTCCCAACCATGGCAATTCTAACCTGCAGCAGAGGGAAATACAAAGATGAGACTCTCCCAGAAATTAGGAAGAGATTTAGATCTGAATTTGGAATATCTAGCAACCAACCGGCACATGTAATGTGTCACATATTTTAGCCCTTGATATCCATTCTCCCAAGGAAGGCTCCTTAGAAGTACTGCATCAAATAAAATATGTCATAAGCACTGCAAATATGAACTAATGTTGGAAGGATATGAAATGGCAGGATAATCCAGCCCAAGAAAAAAATGAGAATCGAGCATATGGAACACACTCTAGAAGGTTCAACACTCTGAAAATAGCTTCATGAGCCTTCTGTTCCTAATCAACAAGAAAAAGAACATATCCATTTGCTTATTCGATAAATATGAAAAAAAGAAATACAAATTCAATAATACAGAACGCTTCTTACTTTCAAAAGCAAAGGAATGTGCCAGATATTAGGAACATCATAGAGCGTGAAGATATTTTCTTTCTGGAAATAAGTTGTTTAAGCAGATTAGTAACCAAGAAAAAAAATAGAGCTCGAAAAATCATAGATATTTTATTGATATGCATGCATAACAAGTGCATCAGTCTTGACCACATACTGGAACATGGCAAAACTGAGCGAGTTTCCCCTTTACACTCTCATCCAGTGCCTGCAAAGCAAGTACATATTTACAACCCCAAACTAGAGTGATAAAACTTGTGTCCTGCCTATGACTTTCTGTACTACAGAGAAATAGATAATGACATACTGTTGTGCTTCGGCAAGCTAAGATGTGCGGTGTCAAACCCAGGCCTCGGAGTCCTCGAACACTGTGCTGGGTTGGTTTTGTTTTCTGCACATGATAAATGTACTGAAAAGTGTGTTTGATGAAACTAATTTTAGTCCTCATAATTGAAAGTTGGCTTAAGAAAACTAATTTTACAAAATACCTGTTCGCCAACAACATTTAATACAGGCACAAGGCTGACATGAATCAAGCAAAAGTTGCCAGGACCTGAAATGATATGTGCCAAGGAAACGAGTCAATAAGGTGGAAATTCAAAGGATTTACATTTTTGCAAGACAAGGCTTGGTAGACAACATCTCACCTACACGGTAGGAGAATTGCCCCAGAGCCTCAATAAATGGCATGGACTCAATATCGCCTGTACACAGGAAGATTTTGCTTTCAACATGAAAAAGAGAAAACAAAGCTCATGCCTCGTGCTAAGAATTTTGTCAACTATTCCAACAGTTCCTTGACCAAGAAGAAAAAAGCATACCTACAGTTCCACCCAATTCTATGACACAGACATCAGCTGGACCTGCCATCCCATCCACAGGTACCACAGCCACGCGCTCAATCCACTCTTGAATCGCATCTGTAATGTGAGGAACAACCTACAGACGCAAGAACATGAATACTGCACATGGTCCACAAACCTAAAAGCTAATGTATGCAGTAGCAGAAAAAGAAATGATGAATGCAGGGAAAAAAAGAAACCTGAACAGTTTTTCCCAAATAATCTCCTTTTCTCTCTTTCTCAAGCACATACTGCCATTCAAGAAGTGGATACGCTAGTGAGTAGATACAATTAAAAGAAAAATGAAAAGGAATGCAAATGCGATCAACATACCTGATAAATCTTTCCTGTAGTAATGTTATTATCACGGGTCAGCTTGATATCTAGAAACCGTTCATAATTTCCCAGGTCAAGGTCCACCTTTGTACAGAAAAACAAAATTTGATAGTAAGACTACAAATTTTCCTTTTCTTTTTTTCTTTTTAATTCACTGCGTCCTTTTCTTTTTCCTTTCCCAAAAACTCCTGGCATCCATGCGAGAGCATGAGATTCAGTAAAAAAATTTGGGAGATGAAGAGGCAAAGGGAATACAGAAAGGGAATGTCATCTGGCGTTCAGAAAAGATTTGGTAAGAAGACACATAAGATGAAGTTAAATTAAAATGTTTATACCTCGCCACCATCATCTAACACGAACACCTCACCATGCTCGAAAGGGGACATGGTTCCAGCATCAGTATTTAAATAAGGGTCTGTGAATTGGCAAGGAAAGGAAGTTTGTCAGGACGACAAAATGAACAATGCTATTAATTTATTCCCCTGATTTTGAAGGGTAAAAACATTAGATGCGACATTGACAATCTCTTGCAACCAAAAACACAAGGCCCCAGCATTTAGTTAGTCTAGAAACAGGGAAAATTCATAAAGAAAACCAGAAAAGGAAAAAAAAAAAAAAAAAAAAAAAAAAAAAGCAAAATCCCCATCTGAACTTGTAGGAAGGCAATAGTCTGAAAGTCGGGGATATTTTTTCTTCTCTTCCTCTGTTCAATCGGAAGTAACAAAAACATCCATAACTTTTTCATAGGTGAAGAAACAAAAACAGAAAAGAGAATTCATAAAGAAGGAAGGAAGGATAAGAGACCAATTTTGATAGAGGTAACACGGAGGCCACAAGCCTTGAGAAGAAGGCCGATGCTGCTTGCAGTGACTCCTTTGCCGAGTCCACTCACCACTCCTCCGGTGACTAGAACGTACTTCATTTCCTTTACTTGCTTGTATTTGAAACAATCCAAAGGAATATTTTGACTGCATTTGAAAAGGAGACCGTCATTTCAACGAACAGTAGAAAAAGAAAAGAGAGCAAAACAGAGCAATACGAGATCAGCTTCAAGTATTTGAAGAAGAAGAAAGAAGTATCAGAAGAAGAAGAATGGTAACAAGAAGTATTTGAAGGTTAATTGAGGGGTGAGAAGAGAATGAAAAGAGAAACTAGTTTGGATAGGATCCTACCTGCAACTTGTATTGTATCAGGTGAAGGAAGAAGAGAGAGAAGGAGAAGCAATGAGATTTGGTAAGGGAGCATTTACGGGTATTTATAAGCATACAACATGTATGATGCCTCCACTTCCTCCTCCTTCAACAAGTCCCCACTGTATTTTCTTCCTCCCTTTTTTTTAAAATAAATTATTAACAGAAAAACGCCTCTAACAGGACGAGCTCCATTAAACCAACTGGTAGCACCTCAAGAACAAGGTTGCAGTAACCTTTATTTTATTTTATTCATTAAAAAATTAAACACTGTTGAGATTGACTAGGAAAATTGTTAGAATAAAAATGCATATATTTAAATAATTAAAACAGTACTTATATATCAATAAAAAATTTATATTTATATTTATATTTATATTTATTAGTTACTAATAATATCTAAAAAACAATTTAACTATGTAAACTACTTAAATCCACACGAAACCCATCACCCATTTTGGGCATATTTATTTAGGAGATATATATATATATGTATAATATTTTTAAATCTTTACGGCTCGGCTCGGCTAGGCTCGGCTCCTACTTTTATTTCCTTTTTACAGTCCAGTTGGTGCTTTAACTGTAACTTTCCTAAACTACGATCTTCTTTTCTAATAAAAATTATTAATATAAACATTTTTAATTTAAAAATTAGTACTAAAAACTTAATTAGTTCTTTTTTTAGAGCTTAAACAAATATTTTTTAGCTTATTAATTATAAATTTTATCAAAAAATCAGATTACAACTTCATTATTGTAAAAATTACAACCGACATAAATTTTTAATTAAAAGAAATAAAATTACAACTTGTCAAAAATTCTGACATTTTGTCACTGTTTCAACAAGATTCTTTTACCATATCATGCATCCTTTGAAAATTGATGTTTTTTAAAAGCATTTTATGACATTAATCCCAACCACCTTTTTTTACTCGAGACATGTTGGTAACCGTTCCTATGTATCAATGTTGCTGACACACGTATATATTTGCAAAACTGGTTAAGTAGTCTTGAATTAGATTTTTTTACCATATCATTATATAAAAAATAATTCAATATTAATTAGTTCAATATACATACATATATACATATATATATATATATATATCCTGAATACTTGATATAGAGGGAAGGACATAACTACTCAAGTAATTTCA